TTAACCTTTATACCGTCGATGTACCATCCTCCCTACACACCTCCATTTCACTTTTTGATGATGATACCGCTATATATTCCTCAAACCGTGATATTGACACCGCACAAGGTACATCATCTCTTCCAGTTTTCCGACTTGGTCAAGAAATGGTACATTCAAGTAAATCCAGCAAAAAGCCAAAATCTTCATGCTCCGCAGATTAAACAATCCTCCCACTCTCAAGTATCGAGGACAAAATATAACTTGGCTCAAAAACAAGTCAGTCAAATATCTCAGTGTACAATTTGACGGAAGACTCACTTGTAAATCAAATATATTTCACAGAATAACTTTGGTCACCCGTAGAACCCATCAATTACATCCCGTGCTCAAAAAGTTCATCCCTGCGACTTCATGTTGCTTCTCACCTATACAAATAAATTATCCGTCCAATATTATCCTTCTATCTGGGTCTTGGCCAGCTAATTAGATATACAAAAAATGCATTTTTTCAAAGTAAATTCCTCTGAACCATTACAAAAGCACTCTTGTTTGTACCTCCCAGGTACAAACCAACTCGGCATTACCCTGGTCTCCGTCCATATTCCCCTCCAATCCTCTCGCTTCTGACCCAAAATCCCCCAGATTCCCTCAGCCATGCGTTTTAAAATAGGAAAACAAAATCCTCGCCACAATAGTCTGAAGTGAAAACGACCGCGACAGTTCTTTGACATTTCCTTACCATCATGTACCTTATATGGCCTCGCCCAGTTAATCCACAAACAATTATTTATTGAATCTACTTCACGTGTCCATGTACTAAACATTTCCTAAACAATATCAATATTCAGTCCACTCTAAATGTATCTTACTCGCGCTGCTGAGGGCCATCGGGCAAAGCAGAATTTTTTTTTTATACTAGCTCATCCAAAATCAACAATCATATTTTGGTAGCAGGCTGTTTATGTAAAAAAACAACAGGCAAACTTATTGGAAAATACAGAAATATATCGGGTATTATCTGTATTTTTGCTCCCATACACAACCTATACTTCAAAAGTGATTATTTCTTTAAAACATAATTTGTATTAACAGGGGCGGATCCATAGACAAATTATCCCGATTTTTTCTATACCTGGAGTGGGTGGCAAGGTTATTTGGTGGTGTTGAATACTAAATTAATCAAAATTAATACACCATCTTCATAATTTTGGTTTCTGTTGGCTCTGATGATTTGGAATCCTGGTATGATGAATGTTTTGCTTGGGCTCAAATGCGTCTCGGCGATGCATGCGATATTTATCTTTTTTGCGTGTATAAAATATTCTAGTTCGTTTTTTGTTTACGATGCCATTTGCATTCCAATTGAGAATGGTTAATGCTTTATGGTGTGAATCTTTCATAACTATTACTAATTGTGGAGGTGATGGAGTTCTGAATACATTGTATTATTGTTGGAATTAGTGAGTTGATGAGGTTGTGTGATTGGTGATGAATTGTGTGAGGTTGGTAATGAAGGAGTTGTCGTATTGTTTAAATTGATTGTTTGTGTGCGTATTATGATATTGTTGATAAACAATATTTGCATTCCTTTGTTGATTGTGATTATTAATTCTTTGAGTGACATTAGGAATATTGTTTGTTGTAGGCAATGATGGAAAGCTCGTTGAGTCATGATTGGGTGGTGGCGTGCGTGATTGGCGGGATCTGGGACTAGAATTTACATTATGTTATTTTCCACTATATTCCTATAGTATGTGCATTCGTTTGACCTGAAGTCATCCCTATGCTTTCCCATGCAATGTTTACAAGTAGGAGTTGATTTCTTTGACGGACAGTTTGCTGAAAGGTGGTTTTTTGCACAGAACACACGAAACTTCGTAAGTTATTTGTACAGTATCCAAAGTATACACAACGGAAGCACTGAATGGGACCTACAGTTTTCTTTCTTCCTTCCGGCTTTACTATGGAATGGCAAATGTATTTTAATTCCAAAACATTTTCAATTTGGGGGCATTGTTCTTGTTTAGTCTCGTAACCTTTGGAACTGATGAAAATTGAGATGCGATGTCTTCAAAACTTTCGTTTTCTGGAATTGTGGGATGAATGTTTTTATCACAATTGAACATTTCTGTACACTGGGATCTGAGTACGTATGGAATTGTTTATTAGAATTTATATAGTATTTTACTGCAGCTCTGAAGTCTGATACTGTCGTGAATTGTATTTCAATTTTATTGTTCTTGAATTGAGTGGTAAAGTTATCAGTTAACTTAGATTGGATTTCCTTTATAAATTCGGTATGATTGCTAATTCCTGTTAAATGGATTGGGGGGATTTTGAAGTGAAAGGTTTCTGCCGATACTTCAGGTAACTCTTCATTTAAAAAACTGAATCTACTTGTCACATCTAAATTGTAGTGTTTTTGCAAGTTGTTATCGTAAAGTTTTGTCGAGGACATGCGTTTGGCGTCTCTGTCACTGGCGTCACCCCCGCCCTCGCGGTTTCGCTTGCCTTGCATTCCCTGTTTTGTTGCGTCTCTGAATGGGTTGATCCGGTGGTTTGTTGTTGTGATGGTAGGCGCCGACGATGATCCTGTCGTATATGAACTGTTGAATGAGCGCAACGTGCTGTCCTCGATGTAATCCATGTTGCTGCCCGTGAAGTTCAGGCTGATTTCTGCGACCGCCATGTTGGTTGAATATTCTGAATTGTAAACTGATTCTAGGGCTTGAGAAACTAAATGCCATGGGCTGAGATCATTGTTAGACATAAATATCGTGCACCAACACTGAACACGTACTTCATACGTCCACATCACACTGTTTAGTACTAGCACTGAAAAATCTGTCCCCACTGTTCTACGCACGAAACGTTCGGAGCGATGTTGCCCGGCCGAGAGCGCAGAGCAAAGTGATCCCGCGTGGGCCAGGCGTCCTCCTGGATACCCATCACATGGAAGTCTCATATTGTTCATAGACCAAACAAAACTCGTGGAGCCCTATTTAAATTGTATCCGCTAATTAGTAGAAAATCTTCTCTGAATCTGTCCTAAGGCCCTCGATTGAACGCAGCTCCAATCTGGGGAGATGCCGTTCCTCCCGCTCTGAAACACTAGAAATAAAACCTTCCAAAATGAAGTACTACGCACAATTACCAATGACCCTATGCATACAGCCAACAGAGAACTGAGCATAGAACCAATTAATATAAATTACATTTCCTTACTGCCATCCAAATGTTTTACTAACCTCCAAACTGTCTCTTACGCCAGTTACTTTAACCTTGATAAAATCCGCGTTTTGCTTCCACAAGGATCAAATTCCGTTTCCCAAAACATCTGTTCCGTCCCCAATAACCTAAAACAATAGTTACCACACCTTCCCCTCGTTAACTTTGTATCCTCTTACCTTCAACTTCATAACACCAATGAACGTTGTCATAATGTTCCCAGTGGGGATGTTCTCGCTCAGAATTAGGGGTACGGGGTACGTTGCTGAATCTTGTGCCTTCGGGTCCTAGTAGAGCATCTATTCGTTGTAGCGCCGTGCGGGCATTTCCAAAGCTGGCAGTTTATAAAGAATTCTATGGATGTACTCCCTTCTACTCGAATAGCTCTCGTGTTCAGTGGCCGACGGCCTTCGCTTAATGACCGAAAGCAGCGGCGATTGCATAGTTGTCAGACAAGAATACACTGTGTGAAAAAACAGCAGAAATCATTGTGGGACGTATGATGAATATATCCGTTAGGGCAGCAGAAGACAGATTCAACAGCCTTTGCTAACAGCACATCGCCAAGAGCGCCTCTTCTGGGCACGTGACCATATCGATTGGACCCCAAATGACTGGAAAACCGTGGCGGCTTTACCATACGAGACCCGATTACACTTGGTACGAGCTGGTTCACTTGTGGCGCAGACTCCATTAATCCATGGACCCAAATAGTCAACAAGCCCCTGTGCAAATTAGTGGTGGATCCACAATGGCGTTGGCTGTTTAAATGGATGGGCCGAGACCTCTGATCCAACTGAACAAATCACTGTTTGAAATGGTTTTGTTCAATTACTTGGAGAGCATTCGCTGCCATTTATAGACTTCATGTTCATGGAATTTAAATGGGTAGCAATGTGCCATATCACCGGGCCACAATTGTTCGCGATCGGTTTGAAGAATATTGTGAATATTCGAATGATTAGGCCCCTCAAATCCAACATTAATCTTATAGAATATGTACGGGACATAATCGACAGGTCAGTTCGTGCACAAAATCCTGCACTTTCGCAATTATGAACTATAGAGGCAGCATGGCTCAATATTTCTGCAGGGCACTTCCAACGACTTGTTGAGTTGCTGCCCCTCGCCGGGCAAAAGGTCGATATTTGGAGGTATCCCACGACTTGTCACGGGAGAGAAAGGGGAATAATTTCAAAAAGGTCATCTTTATACAAAACAAACTGCACTCTTCAAATGCACATTATCAAACATAGAATGAAAATAATTTCGCCAAACATAAATAATGCATTCAATATTGTCGACAATTGACTGAACTTGTGCATTTTCAAAAACTCGCGAAATTCATAAAACTAAGTTGCAGCGTGTCAGACGACGACAGAAAAGTATTTCCCTCAGACCCCGCGCAGCGCTCAATAAGACACTCCACCTACTGGTTGCGCAACCTAAGGCCCAATGTTGAAGCGTAGAACCAAAGAGTAAATGCAATAAACGCAGTAATGGAGCCAAGTGCGTGACATGGTGCAATGCCTGAGAGGGCACCAGAGAGAGCGCTAGTTAAGCTCTCTGGTTTGAAAACGATTTCGTGAACAACAATATTGCCAGTCTAACATGTCAGATTATGTTAAATTCTCTTATGTTACCGTAGACTACAGTGTTGTTCTGCAACTTCATGAATATTGAAGAGAGTCTACAAGAGGTATTTCAGTCAAATTGTTGAGGTATTTCAGTTCATTATTATTTCCTGTAAATATTTTAGGGGTTCTATTTCATTTAATAAAAGATGAATAAGATTTTAAAATACTTTACTAGGTTTCACTGAAATTACTTTTACAAATATGGGAAAATTTGTGCTTTTTTTAACAAGTTTTTCCCAAACTAGCAATTACAGTGTCACCTAACTCACACACACTCACACAAACTTGAATACTTAAAAGGCAGAGATTTATGACACTGTATGGCAGTATACTTTTTACTGCTGTTAAACAATGATAAAATGATAGGAAGATTGTCAAGTAGCTTACAAATAAATTTGGTAAACTTTATCATGAAAGATGCAACATATTACAAATAACAATATACAAACAAATGATAAAATTAATAACAATATTTTTCAATTGACATGAAATAAGATGCCACATAGATGTGAAAAGATTTGTATTTTAGATGCAAATGTCAAACATTTAGGTGATATCAATGTCTTTAAATGTATCTCCCTTCCATCCAACAACAATGCAATAATGCTGAAATAATTGAACAAGAAGCTCTTGTTCATCCAAGAATTCTATTCGCTCTATTCTCTGTCGGTCTGCCGCAGGCAGCATGCCATACATCTGAACCATATCCCAAGCTCTCGCACCATCCCATCCACTTTGAAGAAATCTGTAATTGAAGGTGCTTTCAAGATGAGATCCAAAAGAATGTTTACCCACATACAAATGTGACTCAAAGTTCAATTAATAGTAAAATTATTGGGTGTGATTGGAACAATTAATATAATGTTCCTCAATGAAAACATATACTAAGATTAAAACATGAAATTTACAAAACGATACACTGATCAAAAGCTACCTGTCCTTTTGGGTATCCAAGCTTTTAGATGCATCAACACTTGCTAAAAGACATCCTCTAGCTCGCAGATTTTGCAACATTACGTCACCAAACTTGTCGCCCATGTTAACCTGTAAAGAAAACGTCATAATTTATACATACCAGATCTCTTCTCCCGTAACGAACTGAAGAAATAAGCTCACTTCCGAGAAAACAGGGCGAACATTACGTCACCGCGGGCGGAAAAGCGTCGTATTCATAACTTCGAACTTTTAAGGCGAGTTGACGATTCGCTATCAGCGACCTATTTCATGGCGAGGTTCCAACATTCGGTTCTCGCGAAGTAACTTAATAACATACATCATTGAGTCTATTCAACACATTTATGCATTAAAAAATAAATCAAAACACCATTTTCATTCGAATTACGAAAAAGAATATTATCTCCACTCCTACTCTTCTCTTCGTTCACCGATCTCGCGACGTCGGAGGTTTTAGTAGAAGTAGGACTTGTCTGGCTACCACTGCTCTCGCCACTTTTGTTTTTTAAGGCTTAAAGGTATTTTAAAATTAAAATTCTTTCCGTTCCGGATGTATCGAAGATAGGGAGAGGATACCAATGGTAGGAGAAGACATTTATTTTTTAGCAGGGAGGACTGTAGCTTATTTTTATTGATTTGGTGAGTAGTTACTCTTTTTTTATTTTTATTTTCGCTGTAAGAGAGAATGGGCTATTTTGATGAGATGTTATGGAAGAAAATAGGTTATTTTATTATGGTTTGGCAATTTCGGATCTGTACACTTTCTCTAGTTTAGCAAAAAATACAGAAAAACTTTGGAGCCACTTTTGAGAAAATTTGGGAAATATTCCAATGGCTTCATGCAAAATATCCTAAAATTTAAAAATCTGGTTCAAATTCATAGGCTTTGCATTTGGCCAGATCAATCACATTATATCTATTTTGAAAATTCTATGAACAGTTTATGTGCTAAAGTTGTCTACAGATGGATGAACAAAAAAATGGATATTCACACTTAAGTTTTATTCAAAATCTTTTTCTTTATCAGTGATCCTCCACATGTGCATTTTTGACAAAATCTCAATATAGATTTTCTTACACCATTATACAAATTTCCTTTAAAGGAGGTATCAAGTATAAAATCTTTGATTGCTTATTTGTAAAAAAATGATAGATACTAAAGAAAAATTACTTCAAAAATATTAATCTCTTCTTCATGCAACAAAAATAACTTAGCAATTAATTTCAATAAAGAAGCAAATACATTTTTTGTTATTTAATCTGAAAGAAAAAAAACAGGACCTGGGACAAATTGCCCCCCCCCCCCCGCCGCCACCAACATCAATCCTATTCTGCTCACTGATGAATACTTTTTACCGAGTAAGTAACACACACACACACAATTATTTTTTTTTACTCACCTGTTCATAATTAATAAAAAAAGATGATTTAAAAGTTTTTGCCAACCAAGTAAGAAGGCGCTGCACTTGAATGGTTTCAATGTAAATAAGTACACACTCTGCAATAAACAGAGTTGGAAGGTCAAATTTTATTTCTGCTTCTACTAGTTTTGTTTCCACTTCCGCAATATTACGCAAATCTACACCTACAATGTGGTAGTTTGCAGCATGCAAATCAGTTGAACTAAGTCTTACTTCTCCATCTGAAAAGGTAAGGTAACACTTAGTAATTTGCTTTGGATAAATATGGATTAAAGATGTGGAATAAGTATATTACAATAAATGTAAAACTTGAATCAACATATAAATTTAAGTGAAAGTTTTTGGTCCAGAATACTAATTTTATAGAATTATTTATCATGATAATGACGAGGTAAAAAACAATACAAAAACTCAAAACAAAGGAAATTTGAGATCAGAAAAAAAACTTAGACTTTGAAATAAGTTATCAGTTTTCCCCCAAATGACTTCTGAAGCAACTCTTGTAAGTTCAACCTATGCAGAATTAATTTGATAATGCATATAACATTGACGATAAAAGCAATAATCAATTTTTCCTCTAAACAAGTATTAACCACAAACACTATGAATTTAACCTTGAAAATGATATACCATATCATCCTGAATCTTTAAGGTTTTCCTGTACCTCTCCCAAAATATTTATTCTCCCAAAACAAGTAATACCTTTTGGTCATTTAAGGGATTTTGGAACAGGAGTACTCCATAAATAGGAAAACATTTGAACATGAAGTAAAGGAAGGACTAGCAACCTTCAGCATGAATTTTGTCTAGTAAGATCTTATTTCTTTTGATGAAGTAGCATTTCCTTGATGTTACATTTGGAAAATCCAATTCCACAAAGTTGACAACGTTTCGACCAGAATCCTTGAGCCGCCAGTATAAAGTGTCAAAGCCAGAGCCCAAATTCACAATTTGACAATTCTCTCCAACCTTCTGGGAATCAAAAAAGCATTGTTTACACCTTTAACTTAGATCATTGAAATGGAAACTACAAGAGACAAGACTGCACAATTAGGAACAAGTTCATTATATAACACTGACTAAATAAATATGAGATCATGGTACAAACAATTACCTCCATAAACTGGTCAATGAACATTCCTACTCCTTTGGTTCTAGCATAATATCCCCGATTTATCTCCGGGGTTTTGCGTTCATACTTAGGGACAAATAAAGATATATAAGGATCATCCCAATAGCCTAATTGAACAGCACAACGTTTACAAAGACTAGCGTCGTCGTTTGTAGCTTGAACAGCTTCATTCCCAGCCATCTACGATTGAATGTTTATCACAACTTTTGGCACAAACTAATACCACTTAAAAGACAACACCTAAATTTACGTCAGTGGCTTTACGCTCCGATCACCAATACTTGCACAACCTGGGCAAAATCTTCATTAATCATGTTTGGCAGTACTGAAAACAAGCGAAGATTCATTCGCGTCTTAACCAATAATGTTGAAGCGCAACGTTACCATGGTGACAGCGCGCTGTTGCCGATTTCTTCACTAAACATAATAAAAATATTTATGTAGCTTTATATTGGACAATGTACATCTGAAATAAGTGCATAATGCAAGTCAACGAATATCGATTTTTCTGAATACTTCAGTTTAATGTTTTTATCAGCTTATCACTTCCTAAAATTGCATTTGCAGAACCATCGCATATTTAAGATATTTTACTTGCAATGAACCGAGTATTAGAATTTTGTTGGCCATAATAATAATTACCCAATTACATCGTCTTATTCGAGGTTAGTGAGCGACTTTATCTTACTAGTGGAACATCTCGGTAAATTAAACGGTACCTCTTCATTATTGCAACACTTTCCAAAAACAACATTAATTTCTTCATGATTTTATACTATACAGTATTATAATTAAGTTCTATCAGTACTGTTGAGTATTAATCAAAATATCTTGAACCTTGTAACTTGTATTACAAAGCAAATGTGCACTGAAAGCTATCATGTTTTGAACAGTACACTTACTCACTACTCTGCTTCAATTTCACTTGGTATTATCCTACATTACTTCCTGTTTCACAGGCTGGAATCAATGTTTCCTTGGAGATGACCATTGCAAGAAATTTAATATTCTTAGGAAATTTTTTTTCTAAAGTTTATACAAAATTAACGTTATATTTTAGGAAACAAAATAAACTTGTTTTCATTTTTACTTCTATTACAAAAATAAACCAGTGGATTATTAAAATGAAAAGAACTTTGCTGTGTTAACTGGGAGTGCCTCAATTCAGGGGCATATCAAGAGACAAATGTTGGGAGAGGAAATTCAAAATGTTTTGGTTGAAAGTGTCACATTACAGATTTTGTAAAATGTCTCATGGTGCAGTTAGCTCATGCTGTGATATTTTATTTGTATTAATGATTATTCAAAAATATGTTTTCTGGAAACTTTCATAACATGTGAAAATTAATAGTTACTGAAAAAGTTAAGGGGAAAAATTTCCCTCACTGTGGATCTGTGCCTACTTAATTATTGAATATAATTAGGAATTAATATGTTCTTCTCAACCAATGAATGCAGTTTCATGTGTATGTACTTATGAAACATCAAAAACCTTAATTATCACACAGCGAAGATTTGAAACACAATAATTATTAAGGACAATTTCTTCATTTTTTATATAGCAAAAGAATTGTAACATAATATTTGGTTAAAATTTCTGAAATCAATTTTTATAAAGCTAGCGAAGATAGAAGTACTGACAAAACAGTTTGATGAGCATAACTCATCTGTGTTAATAAAAATGAGAGTATTGAGTTTACACACACAGTTCTTAAACTTATACTCCCCCAGGTGTTTACTTATGTGACAAGATTAATACAAATTATTTTAATAGATCAGAAAAGAATGGAAAATGATAAAAGAACTTTAGTCATTGTTACAAACATCAACTCTTTGACACTTTCAGTTTAACTGATAACATTTATAAATAATAGAATAATTAATCAATTAAGGAAAAGTAATTGCTACCACTAAATTAATAATTATTAATACCTATAAAAATATTTTTTTAAAAGATCATTAGGATTGTGAAATGCTAGTTGCCTTCAATTTCACTTTATGTTCTTTTACAATTAAATGTAAAACGAGTTCTGGGGGGTTGTCCAGCTCTTATGAGGAATGGAAAATGTTTGCGGCCTTTGCAGAAATGTTTTTCTAACTATACCTGAGAATTCTCTTTTAAATAAGGCAATTTTGTGATATTATCTCGTTTGTTTTCTTTTTACAGAAGTTGGGGAAAGTTAAAGGTGTTTTATAGAAAAACAAACATCAATTTTTAGAAATTTCTTTTATATTTCTTGTAACATCAATACAACATGTCTTCTCTACTTGAAGTACGAGAGAACATTGAGAAAGTTTGTTACATTATTTTGTAACTCTTACATTGTGCAGAACTAGCTTCAATTGTATCTTGCGTCTGCAGCTGCTTTTTGGAAGTAATGCAATGTTATACAATGCATCATTTAGTGTCTATAAGATCCACAGGTGTGAAAAGCACTGATTTTCACACAACCAAACTATTCCCTTTCTGAACCTTAACTGTGAACCATTTACCTTATTATTCATCATCCTACATGGTCTTACCAAGATTTCGTACATGTCGCACCATATCAGATCTAGAAGTTTACAGAATTGATCGCATCCTTTTCATTCATGCCGACACAAATCAATAAAATGTCTCTACAAATTATTTTTTATGGTTTACATTAATTTTTTGCAGTCACTATTACGTTCTCCATATATATATCATTAAGTATCAGAACCCACTTTCATACTACAACTTTTCATACTGTAACAAATTTACAAGTCCTAACTTTCAGACTTCGTCAGAAATGAACTGTTCATTTATCATTTTTACATACAGCAATTCATACATGAAGATACTCCAGGAAGAAGAAAATCTCTCAGAAAAGAACAGATCATTAAACAGAATATCTTTTCACAGCTATATCGACTAGACAACAGTTCATCCAACCAAGTTATAGCACACAATATTTAACCAGTAACAATACCAACTGCTAAACCAACCATGAAAGAAGTCAAAAAAATATGAATTTCCTGAACTTCAAAATTTTCCCCATCTCCTACAAATGAATGATACCAACGACGAGCTTTACGTTGTTTCTTCTTCAAAACATCCTCAGCCTTGTCCACCTTGCGATCCACATATCTCTCAACCTGGTAAAACAAAAAATAATTTCTATAAGGATGGTCACAAATACATACTCACTACTTGAAGATGATGAAACTGAATAGTAACAGATATCACAATAACACTTTTAAAAACTTTTAAAAAAATCTTCTAAATAAGTAGCCTCACAAACGCATCAAACAAGTCTAATGTCAAATTGATAAACAAATTTGACTCCTAGTAAAGATTACTCATGAAACAAACCTTCTTGTTAAAAGAATTTTCCAGAATTTAGAGATGAGATTCTCAAACATTTAAAAAAAATTTTCCCTTCATACAGCAAAGTTGAAAATACCCCAAGAATGACAATAATTCCCAACAAGTCCCTAAATGAAAGTTTCAATTATTATCTGAAAAGTTATTAAAGCATTTTTTTTATTGAAAATATTATACTATTCAGTTTTTATAATAAATAATTACAGGAACATGGAAGAAAGTCAATGGAGTACAGAAAATTCTTATCACACACAATACAGAATGTGGGGATGTACTCAACTTTATAATTCAAAACAACCAAGAAACCAAAGTGTTAATTTCTTCTTGAAATCTTCCCACTGACGATTCACTGGAAACCTTCCACACACCCCTGGTATGCAAATCACAGTTTGAGAAACCCTGTTGTAGAGTATAGGCATTGTATTACCACTTTTCTCTTCAAATATTCCTAAGAAAGATGTTACTGTACCTCCTATAAGTCCATCACGTGTCCCCTGTACAATTTAACACACCTTGAAAACCTGTTTTAGAATATTGTGATGATCTCGTAACTAGACTGATACATGGGCCCAGAATACAGAGAGCATTATGATGTTAAGGAATTAATTAGTTAATAACTTTTCTGAAGTTGCAAAATATTTCCAAAACCAAGGAGTTTTAACATGGAAGGAAAAAATATAGTTTGAATTTCCCTGTTTCAGGAAACTTTACCTCAGACAATAGGGATCATCTGATTGGTCAAGTTTAACGTTTGCTTTCTCTCTCTCTCTCTCTCTTTATGAAAGAATCTTGCAATTATTCCAATAATTTTATCCCTTGTTAAGAACATGCAGAACAAAAATGATATATTGCAATTTTTATTCTTTCTTTTTGAAATATTTATTTTCTATCTAAAATATTTATTGAAAACAATTATTACAACTATTTTTATAGAAATTATTTATTCAAAATTGAAATTTTGAAGGATTTATATATTCAGTGTAATGTGTTTTGTATTTGAATATTTAGAATACTGGTCAAGGTGATATAAAATTCTAAAAAATAATTTTAAACCCTCAAAACCAAACAGCAGGGTTTGCACTGTGATTTCATGTTTCAGTATAATACAAGTTGGGGAGGGGTTGGGGTGGAATTGAGGTAAACATTGATTACGAGGAGATGTTCTTTTGGATTTTATAATACTATATTTGATGAGTCATGAAAAAAATAAATAGTGCCGAGTTGAAGAATTGCCCAAAGTACTAGCTCAACAATCCACATCATTAAATAATGTAGAAGGGAGGGAACAAGACAAGATATAGAGATTTTACAATTATATTTTGAACAATTTGGATTAATTATTCTAATTTTTAGTGAATGATAATGATGTGAATAGAGAAATATACGTGAAGATAAATAAAAATGAAGGTGGAGGGAAAGGCAGGAAAACCCTATCCAGAAAATTAAGCTGTTTTAATGTTCAATTGTTGAAATTTTGCATTTTCTAGGAAATAGTCCCAATGTTGATCACATGTAGATATTATTCTTTCAATGCTCGTTGAATATTCAATGCTTTCTTACATCATAGTTTGCTTAGGAAATAGCATGCGGTAAATTGTAGTTAGAGAAATTAGCTATGATAACATATTGATTAATTTGTTAGGCTCCTTCCATTAATTGCAAATCTAATCATAGATTTTATTTAAGGATATGTACTACACAAAAATACCCTTCACCTGCGACATGAGATTTTCATTATCTCTTCACTAAAAGTAAATGAAGAATAATGAGCACGGAACATGAGAATATAAAAATTCAAAATTACAACAATTTAGTACATCTTCCCATAAATTAAATTCTACAAAAAAAGTTTTATTTTAATCTTCCAATTAAAAAAACTTAAACAAGACCAAAACGGGCATGCTCATTTATCTTCCTATACTAAAAACAAGTCAAAACAATTAAAGCAACATGAAAATGAAAAAACAATAAATATTAGGAGTAAGAAATATTTTAAAAAAAACACACACACAGGCAATAAATGGATGAGGGAAGTTGTTTTAAGAAATATAGCTCATAGTATCACATAAGCTAAAGCATATGATACTCAAGCAAATGGGAATATCCTGGCATACAAACACTTAATGCATTATTCATTTCTAAGTTATATTCTTTGTTTAGAAATTTCCACAATGAACAAAATAAAATACAAAGTTTAACAAAAGATCACAGACTTTGTTTACAATCTAAAGTGAATTATATGGAGTGATTGACAACTCTCTCAACAAGCACTGTTACAGATCAAGTCTTTCAAGACATTTGGCAAAACAATAAAGTAAATTGTCTTTACTACCTTTTTATTTTACAGCAATTTACTTAAAATATGTAATACCTACTCTTAATAACTAGACATAGACAGTTGTTAAAAGTTAAACTGGTTTATGAAGAGGCTATTCCCAAGAAAAACCCCCCAAGGAAGCCAGCTGCAAGGCAAGTGTTCTCACGAGCAAAGGAACCCACCTGAAACAAGAAGATATTTAAATCTAATGTATTCTCAGAGAAGTCAGAAAGTGATACCGTGTATCTAAATAATAAGAGGGAATCGAAAAGAAAGATTAAAGTCAGAAAATAAATTTACAGAAAGAATGAATATATGCTGCAGGAAAGAACTCTTTACAATCAAAATGCAAGCAATTGTACCAATACTGATATCAACATTGTCATATTAACACACACACATTTTATTTATTTTTTAAGTGACTATCAATAATTCCTATAAATCATTTAATTCTGTCCAATGTTTTCTTTTGGGACAGTCTAACTTTTAATTAAAAAATATACAAACATCCACAATATAATACAATTTATTTAAAGACTTATTCTATAAATCTTAATGTGCCATTGATGCGCTCCTCTTTTGGCATCTCGAATTTTGATTCATGAAACACAATAAGACAGTACTTTGCATTGTGGATATTCACTGAGTGTAGAATGTTCACATGGGCTAGACAATTTACATTCTTGTTTAATTAAAAAATTAATTCATAATGTTAAATAAAATAATGCAAATTACTGTGCATTTTAAAAATATTTGTAAAAATATTCTACTTTCATTATTGCAAGATCAAAATAATTTATGATTATTATTTTAAAACATGTATACAGGCATTTGAATTTTTAATTAAAAAAACACACTTCCATTAATACAGACCTTTATATCTGATATATTTTATAGAAATAGGGAGGGCACGACACCATTAAATTTGCCTTAATATCTTGAGCAATACAGCTGCTATCACTAGGAATTTTTAATGTACAATTAACGCCCCATTAAAGAAACAAATAAATGGAAAACCTCAAATTTGGCACTTTTAAAAATTAACCAGTACTTTCCTTTCCCAAGGCAAAAATGTAAAAAGCATCATACCTATTAGGTACAATATACAGCAAACTTTCAAAATTGAGCAGATTTCTTTGCTGCTGAAGTATCTGTGGTTGAATTTTCTCATATTTGCAAAAAAATCTGCTAAATGCATCTACAATGCTGATCATGTACACATTATTGATGAATATTTTCATAATAGAAACAAAGAGAATATATAGCCAGAATTCAATTTCAAACTTAAGATACTGAATTTTGCTGAACACCGTTTGATTTTGTTGTGGGGAAAAGAAAGGGAAAAAAAAGTTTAGCACTTGAATTTACTTCTACTTGCTATTCTTAGGAGAATGTTGTATATGAAAATATTTAAGCTAAAATGTACATTGTTTTCTTTCTTGCAGCATTTAAGTAGCCAGAATCTGAATATCAATTATAGCCTTCTGAATAAATCATTTTTAATTCTGCCTGCCTCTTCAAATAATTGTTATTTAAACAAGAAGCGAATAATTAATTGAAGCCAAACATTTAGGATAAAGAAGAACAATACATGAAAAAGAAAACAGAGATTAAGCTAGTTATTTTACAAATACAAATAATTTTTGTCACATTTCATAACAGTAATTTAAAGGGCTTGGAACAGTAACAAGATAAGTCAATCCACTTACAGCAAGCCTTCTGCTATTTATAAATGATAACATCTTGATTTTGGATGACGTGTGTCTGATCATATTACTGCCCTAGACCCTTCTTACATACAAATGCAACAAACATAGTAATAAGAATAACCACACTTTCACCAAAATCGAGAAATTAACATTTACAAATTGCGAGAGTCATGTTGTGACTTATCTTGTTACTGCCACAAGCCCTTCATTTAAATTAAACATGCACAACTTTAACAAAGGTGTATAAGAAAGGAACAAGTGATATTGAATTTGCATAAGAAATTGGAAATTTAAAGATACTTCAACAATTGAATGTTACAACTGGATGGTTTAACTTTTTGTTTATCAAAACAATTCAATCATTATTCCCTACCCAATTCTCAATAAAATTTCATTACAATTAACATCAAATAGAATTCATTGATTTTCCAGGCATTTCCTAATGGTTTTTATTTTATTAATTATTATTATATTATTTTATATTATTATTATTATTATTATTATTATTATTATTATTATTATTATTATTATTATTATTATTTTAAATTCAATTGTTGGAAGTATCTTTAACTTTTCAATGATTTTAATTACTCAAGTATTTAAAAAAAAGTTTTTTATTCTGTAATAAATACTAAAAGACCTTTTTTACACAAGGTTCATTTAAATGTTGCAAACAAAATAACCGTAACACACTACAGCACAATGGAACTCAAACCACTCAGGGAATTTCTTAAGTGGTATACAAGGAATGTTATAACACACTTGAAAGCATGAGAATAAATTAACAGATTTGACAGTAAAGAGAGAAACATCTTCATGACAAAAACATCTAAATCCAATGAAAACTAAAACAAAAGGGGAAAAAAGTCCTACATTATATCCAAAATGATTAGACAGAAATAGCATTATTCACGAAATTTCCACGCTAAGGTGCAGTATTTTAAGTACTAAAATGTACTAAAGTATTAATTTTTATTACTTACAGTTCACTAATCTAAACAATACATTAAGAAAATATTTAATTTGTCGCAAAACCTTTTCTTGTAATGTCTGTGATGAGTAAAAAATGGAAGACGGAAAATTTTGTTCAAATAGAAAGGAAATATTTTCATTTTCACCACAATAAAGAGAAAGTATAGTTCCTCCAGTTGCAGTGTTGTACGGAGTACAAAAGATCGCTATTCTCACTTTTGGAGATGCTTCCATGTAAATGAAAATGAACAATATGTAATTGGCTTATCTTAAGGTAATAATATTTTTTAATTTCTCTATTCAGTCAAACTTCAAATCGAATAACCATACAAATGAATTGAACATTAAATTAAGTTTTATGTTATTTAGAATTCTTTCTAATTCAGGCATCCTTCTTGCTGATGCACAACCTTCAGACTTAAGACTGGAGAACAAATTAAATGAATGCAGTAATGGGAACAAATACCATCCACATGATTTCTGCAAACCTCTCCCCATTGAGCTTGGCTTGGAGTTTTTGTCAAAACTGACAAACTTAGGGATGGAGATATATTTTCATACAATATGTATATTTATAATTACTATAAATATCATAGAAATCATATTTATCAGGGGTCAGCATTCAGAAGAAGTCAGTCAGAAACTCACTACAAGAAATCCACACCTAATACAAGTGTGTTACTTTAGAACTTGTTGCCAGATAACATTATACAATTAAAATCGATATAGAACTTTCAAATGTCAAATAAAATCTTTTCTGCTGCATTACAGTTTCTATTCTATTAAGAGACTATAATGACCATCAAAAAGAAAATTATCATTTATTTTAACTACAATTTACAATTTCTTAAATTCAAAGCAGGACATTGTAAACAATAATACTATTAATTCATTATCTTCTGGAACTTCATAATCCAGGTTTCTCCATCACACAAATGATACTGAAGTTAATCGACTGATAAATTCCTTCAAAAATAGTTGCTCAACTGGGAATAATGAAATACCTCCAATAATTCATAAAAAATGTAAGCCTGCTCTTCTTAATATATTAGTTTACTTAATAAATTCATTTCTAGCTGCGTTCACCTACCCAGAATCCCTAAAAATCAGTATTGTAAGACCACTTGCTAAGAATAATAAAGCACGGGATGTTGGGAATTACCGACCTATAACTAACTTCAGTATTTGGCCAACTATGAAAAAGTTATATTAGCAAGACTTAATTGTTTTCTTGTATCTAATAATATCCTTAATAAAGCACAACATGGCTTCAGGAAGGGCTTCTCCACCACTACTGCTGTTGTAGAGTTCATACATGAAATCATTGGAAATTTGGAATCAAATAGAAAAACAGCATTTTTATTCATGGATCTTTCAAAGTGTATCTCATGAGAAACTGTTGGCAAAACTTGATTATTGTCGAATAAGAGGTAGGGTAGAGTCAATGACCTCATTAGATCATACCTCACAGATAGTAAGGAATGTACAGGGATCTTCTGGCAATCTGAAAATTTCCGAAGTTAAATCAAATTTTGATACAATTACATCTGGTGTTCTGCAAGGATTGGTGCTTACCTCTGCTATTTCTATTATATGTTAATGACATTCCAAGCTCATCTGATTTCTCTGTAATTTCTTATGCAGATGATACAACATTAATAAGTAGGGGGCAAAATCTTTGTCATCTAGAAGTTAATCTGACTGAATCATTAAAATCAATTAAAAATTATTTCTCCATAAATGAATTGAAATTAAACGTTGATAAAACTGTATTAATCAACTTCAAGTTTCATCGCGGTCACCAAAACCGAAACACTAAAGTGGAAGTAGACAATGAATCAGTGAACCAAACTGATTGTCGTAAGCTCTTAGGAATATTCATAGATCAAAACCTGACATATAACAAACAAGTTGATACACTTTGTAGTAAAATAACCTCTAATATATGCCCTCTTGAGATACTTTTCCAGATACCGAGAAATTGATGCACTTATTTCAGTATATTATGGGACAATCTTCTCTCAACTTCAACATGGCATTGAAATTTGGGGTGGTACAACACAAACAAAAGTGGATAGATTAATGGTCCTACAAAATAAATGTATAAGAAGCATTTTTAAACTGAATCCCAGACAGTCCTATAAAGATTTCTCTATTAAATATGAATTACTCACTGTTGTAGCACTCTACTCTTACAAAGTATTATCACTATTGACAAATAATCAAAATCAATATTTTGTGAGCAAATAAAGAGATACATAACCCCCATACTAGAGGGCATAAGGACTACCACAAGATATACACTAGCAAGTCTTCAACTAACAAAGATCCTTTCTGTATTGCAGCACATCTCTTTAATAAACTCTCAGTTAAAATAAAAACTGCTGCTGATAAACACTTCAAAACACTGCTTCAACATCATCTTATTAGTGTGTGCCCATTATAACTTAAATTAATGTAATTGTCAATATTAATCAATTAGGTATATTTTTATCATGTAATTTACAAAAATAATGTAAACTTATTATAGTATTACTGAAAGTTAATGAAATTAACTTACTGTAATTGTAGTTAATTTCTAGACTGACTTTGCTTGATGTAAGTTTATAAGCAATAAAAATTATTATTATTATTATTATTATTATTATTATTATTATTATTATTATTACAATGCATTTGTAATGCAATACTTTTGTACTATATAATTAAAAAACTCTAAATATGCCTGTAACAAGTAATGAACTTCAACTTCTAGTTCAATGACATCCCCCAACTTAATTAGATTTTTGTCTAATTTCCCTGATCCATTAAGCAAATGTTGAGATGGCTCCTCGTTTTCCTTCTGGACATAAATATGTAGTTTCAGAGTGTAAATGTTTTATCGAGCTCTCCTTTTTCTATTTATGGCAAGAATAGAGCAGGTGATGTTACTATTTTGTTAGCAATATTCAAAAAATAAAAATGCAGTTTGTTAAGTGATGCAAAAAAGTTTTCTTTAACACTGGGGGCAAAAATGTAAATTTTTCAAATGATGTTAACCTTGCTTTTTTGTTATTATTGTTAGCTGAAGTTTGGAATACATACAACTTGGGAAGAAACTGTCAACTTTTTTACTGTTCTTTCTTGAAAATAATTAAAAATTAAATAGAGATATTGTGTTTTCTCAATTCCGTCAAACGCAAAATTCCTGTTGACACTGCAATAATTATAGTTGCTAAAGTAAAATATGCTCGAATACCTACATCCATACCTAAGGTGAATATATAGGTATTACCTATTATAGGTTTACAACAAATCCTAGTAAACCAATAGCTAATATTGCATAAATTATTCCTAGGGTACCAAATGCTTCCTTTTTTCCTCTTCCCTGACTAATAATATGGGAGATTATACCAAATCCTGGTAAAATTAATATGTAAACTTCTGGGTGTCCAAAGAATCAAAATACATGTTATTATAAAATTGGGCCTTCTCCTCCTGCAGGATCAAAAAATGATGTATTTAAATTTCAGTCTGTTAATAATATAGTAACAGCACCAGGTATAACTGTGTAACAAAACCAATTTCTTTTGCTATCAGGTCAATTTTGAAAGCCAAGCAACTTCTTTGTTGCCAATAACACACATCTTGGCTGTGTATAGTATGGAGTACAATGTACATGTGGTATCGTGATCATTTTCATGTTTGTGGAAGATTTGATTTTTATTATTATTATATCCATTATTTCAACAATTTTATTTGAAAACATTATGCTACGAACAAATAAAGTGACACATGTTAGCCAGATCCAAGTTTCCTAGCCTGCCACTTGATGTGAAATGTTTCCTGCAATTGTGATACCAGCAGACATTTTCACAGAGTAGTAAACCTACTCCACTTGCATCTGACCTACCACAAAAGTAGTTGTGCGAAATTGTTCTTTAGGCAATAAAATTGAAAATAATCCCACAACAATGATGTGCAATACTTGCAGGAAACTTTCAAAGAAGAACATTTCTTGCAATAAATGTGAAGAGAATTTTCTTACTCCATGACTGACACAGTTGAGAGAGATTCATTTAAAATTGTGATTCAAGTGAAGAAAAAACAAAATAAAAACAAGAAAATATCAGCATAAATACTGAACACTTAAAATACAGTGCTTGTAGATATGAAATCCGATGTTTTGCTCTGTTTGTAGAATCTTTGCTTTGTTATAATATTAAGTTTTATGCAGATTTTCCTTAACAGTTAATAGACAAAAATACCCAAATGTATTGAATGTAACAATGATATAGAGAAAATAATTTTGAAAACCCAATGTTGTACCCAGTACATCAAGTGACCAGTAATGTTACATATTCGAGCACGATTGGAAGAATGTTAACAAAAGAATAAATATTAAATAAATGTCAGCTAATCTTTTGAAATGTAGAAATCATATGTAGAGATAATAAAAATGCACTGTTACATATGGAATATAATATTTCCATATGCACAAACCATAAAAGGGGAAGTAAAGTTCATGCAAATTATAAAAAAATTATTAAATTTCAAATAACAGATCCAAGAGTTATACTTTGAAAAATAAGAAATAATTTCGTATTAAGACTCGTTACACAAACAGATAAGCCATTGAAAATGTTTTAACTGAAGTTGGGAAGCTACGAGAAACAACACCTTTTCCATCCAATTAGGACTCTGGCCAGAAATTCGTTCTTCAGCTTTGTCAGCTACTTTATCCACTTGCTTATAAACTTTATCCCAGTTTATGTTGATGTAACCTTTATGGTTAGCAACTTGAAGTAAAATAATACCTCCACCTACAGCAACTGCAGCCATTTTTCCAACTTTCATAGTAATGAATCCTGTAACCCTGGATGAAAAGAAAAAATATATTGACACTTGCAAAACCAGCAATACAATAATTCCATATCGTTGGATGAATAAGTGTGAATCAACTAACCAGCCTGAAGCAGTTCCCATAACCAATTGTCTAGAAGCAGATGACTTGCTAACATCTCCAAGAACTTTATCAATAAAACTTTTTGTGTCCTCAGCAACTTTGTCCATATCAATTATATCATCTTCCTCTTTCTTTGCTTTGCGAACAGCCGGGGAACTCATCTTGCGTTTTATGCGACGAAAAAATCTTTTAATTTTCAGTGTTCTGAAACACCACAAATATCACAAATTGACACTTCCAGGTGCTTCTACCTACGGTTGCAAGGCAACCTAAAACCGTTCATACATGAACCGGTGTAATGCAGAATCTCTACAGAATAGCTCTCGAAAATTCCTGAAATATACCTAATTCCCCTTGTTTTAGGTCAAGCGCACAGCTTATTCAGACGGCCGGGCTACACCCACTGACACGAATGACTACACCCTCCTTCCACAATGAAAGACGTCGAGCAAATATGGCGACCTTCCTTGTCAAACTCTCAAATAAATACTTTAATCAAGTATATTCTCGAATAATCGCTTTGCTGTACTTCACATAGCTGTATTAAAGTTAGTGATCGTGATGATTTCAGGTATTTCTTCGCTCGTTACCATCTTTCAAAAGTTATGCAAAGAATGCATTATATATTGGTTCTCGGCGTTTGAATTCCCGCTTTGACTTCCCCAAGGAACGCATGTGCAAGGATGCATTCAAATCGAGTTCTATTTTTTGTCGTTACCGACTCTTCATGACAAAGACTTGCAGAAATGGCTTTGCGGACTTGGCATAAAACAGCATCATTTCGTAATCATTTGGATGAGGTCCATGACGAAGACAAATCCTCATAAATGTTTGATTTCGAAAAATAGTAAATGCTTAATTGAAATTTTTACAGGTTTCTTCATTTACTAAAACAAATTTTGTTTTGCTAATACACAATTTTGTTGCGAGTAGGTTTCACTAAGTTTCAGTATTAATGTAGTACGTTGTTAAGTATATACTGACTGAAAGAGAAGAAAAGAAAGCAATGGAGATAGTAAAAGCAATCTATTTATATGTCTCCACGTCAGCATTAAAATATGCTGAAAAGTCGATGACATTATCTTGGCGTCTTGCACACGGAGTCTTGCTCAGTTAAATTCACGTATAAAAATAAAGTAGTACGAAAAAACGTTTATGCCAATAATGTACAAGAGTACGTCCGTGTATTAAGAACAAAAACATTTAATTGCATTTCTTTCGCAATTCCGTATTCAGAAGTGTATCAACTGCGTGAAGAGCCTTCGAAAGGAAAAAAAACAGTGCAGCAACGATGCTGGGAAAAGTTTGCCACCAAGTTTCATGATAGAAATGTTTTATTTATTCATTTATTTTACGTCAAACGTTAAATACTGTGTGTGATGTGCTACGGGGAGACGTGTATTCTGTACACGTTTTCTGAATCCTGAGTTCCTTTCTCTGAGCCATTTACTACTAGTTGAATTCTGAATACAGACATAAATGAGTGTTTTTGGTGAGAATTGATAACAAAATATTCCCTCCAATGAAATAAAAACTACTTGTAAGGGCAAATCAGCTGTAGATTTGAGCTCTAATCCCTGATCGTGCCGTTCCTGAAGGAATCAAGTTCCTGTCGCGGCAACATGAATGATATGAATATATTTCCCATTGAACTCTTCATTTGCACAGATAGTGAAGTTAAATGTCCAGAAGCAAAACAAGAGTCCATCTCAGCATTTGCTCAACGGGTCAGGGAAACTTGACGAAACACCCGATCGAGATGGTGATCATTGACCCAGGAGCTGAGGTACAATACTTATTACAGGTCCTTTAGAATGATACAGTCCTAAGAAATAATACATTAAGTATCAAAGTTACAATTAATATTACTACCCTTTTTGATACTCGGAATAACCTCTAATTGTATAGAAACAGTTTACAGCAGAAAATATGTTACTTGGGATGGGATTTAAACTCGAGTTTTCTCACATCTTTCGTTCTCGAAGATCTTAGTGCGAATACTCCTTTTGCACGCCATGCGACCCATAAATGGTAATTGTATAAAATATATTGAGTAAAATTAGAAAGAAAAGACAGTTTTGTTGGAAGACAAGCCCCCTCCTTTGAATCTGCCACTGGCAAAAATATCTTGGATGTGTTCTTCCATGGAAATACCCTTTTAGTAACCATAAAACAGCTCATCTGTAAGATGTGTTACTCTGTTTGCTATTACCAGTTCCGCCAAATGACGGGAATTTATTTCCCATAATTTAGATAAATGATAATAATAATAATAATAATAATAATAATAATAATAATAATAATAATAACAACAAATAAAACGTAAGCAACTCATGTAAATTTATTAATATAATGTTCAATACAGTATTTTTCACAGTATTTAATGCGTATATTTAACTCCGCCTCTGTAGAGACGGTGTTGGTATATGTCCACTTCCAGTATATGGTCGTGTCAGGTATATGTTCACCTCCAGTGCTCCTGCTTTGATTTCCAGTAAGCACGTGAGATTTTGTGTTAGCTTGGCATTGCAACAAATCTAGGTAATATAATTCATACAAAAATTACTAAAATTTCTCTTTTGTGATTTTTTATTTCCCCTTAAAAATATTAGAGGGACTTTTTACGTACGAAAGGAAACCTTTGTCAGTAAATACGAAGCGTTTTGAGATTGCCAACATGGATTTAGAAAGTAAAATTTATGGATCAACCATATTTTCTATTCTACAAAGAAGCAAGCGCAAAGATACACATTAAAAAGATAAAAATCATAGAAGAATGAACTACATAAATTGAATACAGTTCTAAGCTAATGAAAGTATATCTCAGAAGTATAAGAACGCTCGGTTTTAATGGAATCTGGATAATATATTTATGTCATTATTTATATATGTCACAATTAGAAGTAATTGTGACATTTCCTTTTTTATGTTCCTCCGCAATTATAGATGTTGCTAGTTGTGATCTCTCAGTTGATATAGTCGATACCGGTATTTGAAAAGGGGTTTTGTGTAAGTTCGTACATTGAGAGCTGCACACAGGAAGGAGTTGAGCGATGGTAATCTGGATCTGAATATGCCTCGCGAAGCATTTCAACCGTCGGTTTGCAATCTGCTCTCGCAGTTCAGTCTGAACAGCTTCTTGAGCAGCAATGGTGTGAAGGCTTGGCTACCTTCAAAAGTGGGTGCCGCGGCGCTACGCCGTGAAGAACAGATGGCAAGCGCCCTTCGCAGTCATAACATGCTACGGGATTCGGTGGCACTGGCACACGCGCGAGTGCTACGAGCCATCCAGAGAACACCAGAACGTTAACGCAATTAGAGACTTTAACAAGTAGCGGCTTGTTGCCGTTGCTTCTGATGACATACTCGTAGTTTCGCCGAGATTTTTCTGAGCTTTCAAACACCTTGTTAAATCAATACAACAAATGTGCCCTGAAAATTCTAAAATATATGCAATTTTAATGCAATATTTTCTATGTAATTAGAATAAACGATTTTTTAATTTCCACTATAAGCCTTTCTTGATAAACTTCAGAAGATGCATGGTTGGAATGAAAATATATACTTTTGTGCAAACACAATATAAATGCATATATCATGATATAACCTCACTTACTTCGCGGGAGAAATAATTGAAGTAAATATGCACCATAACGAAGTACATTGTATGTCTTAATTTTTTTGACTGGTTTAACAAAAATGATCTGTCAAAAAATATGCTTCATTTGCACAAGTATTGTATCATTTACAGAAAAGAACAAAAAATCAATCTGTGACAAGCTCTTTCTAATCAAAGATCGTTAACAAATAGATTCTATGAAAACAACCGTTTTACTAGAATTTTAACGAAATATGCAAAATATACTACTATAATTATACTAATATGCACCAACATATTGATCTACATAGCATCCAATTCTAAGCAAAAGTGAAGAAATTACACTTAGCTATGTTCTGAAGCAACGGACAAAAATATGCAAAATTATAGAAATCCTCTCCATAGTAATTAATATGTTACCGTATACTACGATAATATTGGTATATTAATACTCTTATTGAATAATATTAACTCTTCAGTCACCTCCGGAAAGTCTTCAGTTAAAGAAGCACAGGAGATTCGGATTTGCAATTGTCAGTTTTTAATTATAATTATAATCACAATCAGATATCTCCCCCAGCGGGGCTCCACTCCAAATGACCAAGCTCTTAGATACCGATATGTGATGTAATGTAGTGCAATTAAGAGTAATCGTATACGTATGAGGAAAGAGGGCAACTGCTTCACCTGGTGTCGATCGGGGAAATCATTATCGTTCTTTAATTATTAATTCGTTAATGTACAATCCATTTCCTAATTCAATTTATTCTTCATTTCAATGAAAACAATTTCTGGCTTCGTGTCAACCAAAAGTAGATATCTGCACTCTTCCCTGAAGATGGATAGGTACTGGTTTTATTCAAGAATGTCCTTCGACCTGGACAGGCAACTCTTTATATTTAGAAGTTCAAAGGTTATTTCTTAAGTTGAAAACCGTGAATGACTGCGCTGAAAGGCTTGTTTAATTAATGCAAGATTTCCATGAACTACTGAATGTAGATGAGGACAAAAGCAATTTTTGTTGTGTTGTTCAAGAACATTGTTCACTGCACCCGTATTGATTTAGATTTATTTAGTCAAAAACAGTAAAAACTGTATTGGCGTATGAGGGAGAAGATCATCAGCGCACATTTTCTAGAGTTCCATCATTTTAACTATAAATAGTTGAAAAGTGAGTAAAAGTTAAAGATAAATAAAAAATAATAAAAAAGCGCTAGATTAGCAACATTTAAAAAACTAGACATTTTCGTTCCCGAGTTGTAGAAAACTTATTTGCAACTGAAAACGAACTGCAGATTTGATTTTTCTGCATTGCTAAAAAAATAGTAACTCGCCCCTTACCTCTACTCCTACCATTACAAGCAAAAGGAGAGTTCAACAAAACACGCGCATAGTGAAGCTACATTTATTTCCAGAAGCAAAACAACGGGCCATCTCAGCATTTGCTCAGTGTATAAGAGAAACTGGACCAAATCCTGATCGAGATGGGAGCCATTGACCCTGAAGCTAAAATACATTATTTGTTACAAGCATGTGAAGACTTTTTACAACAATGTACAGTACAAATGTAAACTAATTCATTATATATCACTGTTTTGTGAAAAAAATAATTTTTTCGTTTCAATAATCAGTATAATCTCTAATTGCATAGAAACAGATATACAGCAGAAAATATTTTACTTTTAACTTCAATTTGTGTACCGACATCAGTTTTTAAAGTCATCTGCCAATGCGTTGTAAAGTAACGTAAATGTACTGTATGTGGATTTCTGGCAGTGAACTGCTGATACTGACTCTTGTACGTGATTTCTTCGACATGTGTTGTAATTATAAATATCAGTATTGCATGAAAATGTCCCCACCGTTATGTAAGTCAGTTTTGATAAATATTACAGATTCGTAAATAAATAGGCAAGGTACTGGTAAGATTCCGAGCTCAATGGAGAGAGGCTTACAAGGATCACGGGGATGGCATTTTTTCATTATTCGAATAACTTTCTTTGGTAATCTAAAGGTACAGCAGCTTCAAGGTACTACTTGAACTTCCCCAGAATAATATGTCATATCTCAGGCGGGAATACACATTTGCAAAACACACGCAATGAGCTGCATGAAGGCTGACAGAATTTGAAAGAATTCTGAATGTGTAATATAATGAACTTAATTTATTGTGTAATTCTGTTATATGTACATTCCATTTGATACTTGACTGAATTGTAGAGACCTAGAGATTTTGTTACCTTCAGCATCATAAACATCAGCAAGAAAGAAACACTGAAAACAAGTACCCACAAGAAAAGTTAAAACCATAACACTCTCTTCAGTCTGAAGAATGAATATGAATTAAATTGTAATATAAAATTATACATTAAACGTGTATCAGCAGTTTTCCACTGACTTAACACAACAAAACCAATCATCCCTAACATTCAAATTTCGCTCTGAAGAAAGCACAGGTTAATATCGACCTATTGAGATGAAATTTTATTTTTGAGTAAATTTTATCCAATGGAAAATATTTAGGGGATAAACTCCCCATTTTTTTTATTCTAAATTCAAAGGACTCTTTCATTCTAAATTCTGATGTGCACAACTATAACGCACGTCAAAAGGAAAACCTGCACATTCCCCTATACGAGACTACACTCGGTGAAATAGGTTGAAAAAGCACAAATTGCCTAAAATAAGCATTAATGCTCTCGTAGCTCAGTGGCGAAGTCGCTTGCCTTTCACCACCGGATTCAATTCCCGTAGAATCCCCGTAGCATGTAAAACCTCGTGTGTTTAGCCTTAATTTACCAAACTTAAAAATGTGGCCTTAAATCGCGATGGCGTCATGTTTCCTGAATCCAACGCCGTGACAATCATGCAAATCGGATGAATAAGAGCGTCGTAAAGTGAAATTTACGAAAACACCTCGCCCCCGCCCCTTCCTCTTCTGCGCCGTTGCGTCACCCACCCACCCGTTGTGGGCCCTCTGTCAGCGCGGTGGCATGGCCAGGCCCGGCGTCGTGCGGCCAGCCCCGACGGCGCAAAGGAGATATCAAGTTTGGAAAATCGAACCTCGGCAAATTCGATCAAGGTGGGTGAATTCGACCCAAGCAAAGTTCAAACAAGTGGGGGATCGGACCCCGCAAAGTCGATAAAGCGGGGAATCGACCCAGCAAGTCGATCAGTGGGTTGATTTTACCCAGCAAAGTCGAATCAAGCGGAGGATCGATCGCAGCACGTCGATCAGTGGGCTGATCGATCCAGCACGGTCGGTCACAAGTGGGTTGATCGACCCAGCAAGTCGATCTAACCTGGGGATCGAACTCAAGCTAAGGTCGATTTAAGTGGGGTGATCGACGGCAGCAAGTCGATCTAAGTTGGGTGATCCACCCAGCAAGGTCGATCAAGTGAGTGTTTCGACCCAGCAAGATTCGATCAAAGTGGGCGTGTAATCGACTAAGCAAGTCGATCGACGTGGGGCGATCGGCCCAGCAAAGATCTATCAAGTGGTGATGTTTGAACCCAGCAAGTCGATAAGTGGGTGCAGTCGAGCCCAACAAGCTCGATCAAGCGGGATCGCCCCAGCAAGTCCGATCAAAAACGAGGCTATCGATCCAGCAAATCGATCAAGCGGGGGATCGACCCACGCAAGTCGATCAAGTGGTATGATCGACGGCCGCAAGTCGATATGTGGGTGATCGACTCAGCAAGTCCAATCAAGTAAGGATCGACCCAGAAGTCGATGAAGCGGGCGATAACGATGCAGCAAGTAGATCAAGCCTTTGAATCACCCAGGCAAGTCGAATTCAAAAGCGGGGGGATTGGGACCCCGCAAGTTTCGACCAGTTTGGGGATCGGACACAGTAGGTGGGATCAAGTGGGGATCGACGGAGCAAGTCGATTAAGTTGGGGGATCGACCAGCAAGTCGATAAGTAGAGGATGCGATCTGGCAAGTCGATCGCAAGTTTGGGGATCGACCGGCCAGCCAAGTTCGATCAAGTGGGGGGTGATCGACCTAGCAAGTCGATCGAGTAAGAGATCGACCCAGCAAGGTCGATTCGAGTGGGGGATGGACCCGTAAGTCATCAGGTGGCGGGGGAATCTACGCGCAGCAAGTGTACAAGCGTGCATCGACGACTGGCCGCACCAAGTCGATCAAGCAGGCGATCGATTCCAGGCAAGTCCATCTAACTGGGGATCGACCCAGCAGTCGATCAAGTGGGGGATCGACCTAATCAATGTCGATGCAAGCGTGCAAACGACCCAGCAAGTCGATCCAAAGCGGCGATCGACCAGGCAAGTCCTATCTAACTGGATCGAACGCCACAAGTCGAATCAGTGGAGGGAATCGGGACCCGCAATCGGATTTCAAGTGGGTTGATGCGGACCAGCAAGTCCAACAAGTGGGGGGATCGCCCCGCAGAGTCGAATAAAGCGGGGGATCGACGCCAGCAAGTCGATCAAGTGGGTGATTTAGCCCAGCAATGTCGATCGAAGCG